TCTAGAACAAGTTAGCTGGCATCTGCAGCATCTGTGCTGCAGGTGTTCCTGTTGACAGAATGGTAGGCTGCGCCACTAAAAATAACCAGGGAATTACAAAAAACACTACAAGTCATCTGTACCTGAGCTGTGGCACCTGCTAGGCTATGCATTTCTATAGTCCTAGTTCTCTCCTCTCCTCCCTACCTTAGGCTGGCTAAAAATAATAATAATAAAAAGGCAACCAGTGTGACAGCGTATAACATCTGTTGAGAAGCTGCAATAGCCAGGTGACAAGGTCTATGCTATATCAGCCTGTGAGCAGCTGGAGGAGCTGGCTGCTGGCTCCAGCTGGCTGCTGCACTGGCCAGGTGGGTCTGTCACTCTGGAGGTGTTGACGGAGCTCTGCTTCAGTTGCCATGAGCTGGCCAGGATTTTTTGTCCTCCTAAATATCATTATGTCTTTGCTCATTTATAACTGGATGGAATTAATTCACTATGACAAACGCCTGAGTAAGGTCCACTGGAACTTCTAATAAGATCCTGCCTATATTGGTCCAGTCACAGTCAGTGGAGGCACTTACTAACGGCTAGTTTCACCTTCCTTATACATCTGTATAGTTCTTTTTAGGGGCTTGTTTCAAATCCTTCAAAGAGGCCCTCCTAACTGTATTCAAATACTAAATTATCTTTTTTAATGACAACACCTATGCTCAGGACAATTACCATACATCCCACAATTTAAGTTCAACAAATGGCTTTATCCGTTGACTGTTGTTCCTTTCCAAATGTGATATCTCAAATTTGCTTCTCCTTATAACAAAAACAACCTAAATAGCACTGGGAACATATCCTTAAACCAGCAGAACATTAGGAAGTCTGTCCTTCCTTTCACTTACTCTCTCTTGTCTCTTTAGAAACACAATTTAAAATATCGTTTTCTCTAGCTTTTAGAAGAAAACAATATTTGAGTGCTGAGTAGGAACCCCAGTACCACAGCCAAAGCAGGTATGGTATATTCAAATTACTCCTGCTGCACTTTAGCTTCAAAATGTCTCTTACAATTGACTGTATTCTCTTGCAACTGCCTCAGAGTAGATTAGAAATATCTCAAAATCTTACTGCAGTAGCAATGTTCTGATTATTAACATCTAGATCTGTTCTGGTGATATTCTGTTTGTCCCATGAGCTTCTGCACTGCAGTGCAGAACACTTTGCAACTTCAGTTCGGATGGGCAGTAAGTTAGATATTGCTGTCTCTTACGCACTGCAGTCTGCATACACTGCTATAATGACAATATCTTTCATTTCCATATATGGTGAGTGTTTTGATTTGAAGCACATAGTATTTTTGCAACTAGTTCAACTGCCTATCAGTGTCATTCTGATTAGATTGTTTATATTCCACACACATAGAGGTTTATAATAATAATAAGTAGTGCAGCTTGAGAAAAGAAAACATTGATGGTAGGGAAATTCCCTTACGGGAATGGTAGGAAATGTAATTTGCTTTCTCGAGCTACAAGTTTCAAAGCAAAAGCTCATGCTTTGTAGAATCCTCTTTCTAAATCAGGAGCTTTTATTGGCTATACATAATGTGAGACACTATTTCAGTGGTATAATGAATCACATACTTAAGCCTCCTGAAAGGGGACAAGCCCTAATATTAAGAGAAGACACAGAATGAAATATAAATTCAAACAAAAAATGGCTTTTTACCCTTTGATAGCCATTTCTCTTCCACTGTAATACCCAGGAGGAGGGGAAATGTCTTCCTCACTCTCTCTCCATATGATATTACCTTATCTTATATTTTGATTTTGTGCCATTGATGTGTATGATATTTACTCTCAGTTCAACTTTGAGCTGAAGCGATGACTTTAGTTAGAGAGTTTGTTAAGCTGTGAAACCTGTGTTCCCTCCTGGGTCCCCAGGTCATGGCTTCTCCCTCGCCTTTTAAACTAGTCACTATCTACAAATCTATTTTCACTGATATTAACTTTGGTCTAAATCAAGAGATACTCAGAGTAGGTGGAGATATATTGGTATTATCATTGGAACTAGCAGGGGAACCTTCAGTATGACTTCACATGTCTAGGTACTTAATTAGCTTTTATTCATAAAGCTAGTACTAAATAGAAACTCACATTACAGAATTAATGTAAGAATCTAAGCAACAGAATGGGAAAACCAGGCAGATAGAATACCAATGTCCTTACTCAAATGTCTTCTACTTAAACTGCCTTTAAACTCATTTAAGTCACTCGTTGTGGGCTGAAGCCCACTGGAGACAGGGATAATTTAAAATAGGCTAAAAGCAATGACTATAACGGTTATTACAGTGGTAAATTAAGTGAAAATAAGAAGGCGGCAATGCCTTGATAGAATAAGGAAAAAACAAACAGGAAACAGAACTTACTCCCACAACTTAGAGAAAGAAAATATTATAGATCTTGATCTAGAATATTTCATAGAAAGCATATATTTGGGTATTACCTTTCAAACAAAAATTAGAAAGGACTGTAAAAGAAGAATCTCTACAAGCTATTTCCATCAGACACAGCTATCTGGTAAAATTCTGTTCAGGGTCCATTTGGGTAAAAAATAATTAAATATCTTTGTCTTGAAGAGGAAAATAAATTAAGAATTTTGGTTACTAGACTTAAAGACTTCATAGAAAATATCCCAAAAGAGAATAAAAAAACTCTTTTTAAACTCTATTTTGGTGATTGTTTGTTGAGTTTTCTTTTCACTTTTTTGCCTTCTATGTGAAAGACAGTTGAGGTTTCAGAAGCAACTATGTGTTTAAATTTTTTTTTAAGTATTTTGTAGCAAGAGCCTTCTCAACTTAACTGTGTTAAAAAAAAAAGCCATTTAGAAGCTACTATATGCCTAATACTAATAGAAGAAAGTTAAAAGGTAATTTAGCATGTCAAAAGGCAGGGGTTTTTTTGCTAGCTCCATAAAAATGGCCTTTTCTCTGATGATGATCTCAAATGTAAAATCACTGACAGTTTCGAAGTCTAAAAATATTGAGTCCAACACTTACAAAACCATTTTTCATCTCTATTGTTTTAAGTACTGATTAAATTTATTGTTTTAAGCACTGATTAAATTTGCATCTTTACTCTTCAATAGGCATCAGCTGTGTGGTTATGAGATGACATATTGATCAAAAATTAAAAGTTTCATATTTAAAAAGGACTTTGAGATTTAAAGCATTTCACAAGCAGAGGTAACTGAGTCTTCTCTGGTTGTCTATGGCCACAGGTGTCAGTGGTTTGGGGCCTACTAGAAGGTTACCAGAAGTATCAGTTTCTGTAGTATTAACAGCACTGCATACAATAATACCAGAATATAATTATTTGTTTGTATTTTTAAGAAAATTGTTCATCCTGCAAAACATTTAGTGTGATAATGACTGCACACAATCAACACTATAGCCGAATGCAAAATACTCAAACAGGCATAATACCGTTCATTTTTATTTCTGACCAAAGCTAGTTGGCAAATTAATTTGCAATTAAATTTGGGTAAGTCTAAGGTGCTCATAACTACAATATTTTCAGCACTACAAGAGCTATCTTTGAGAAAAATGATAGGAACATAATGTGAACTCTGAGTTAAAACAGATGTTTATTTTTGTATCCAATTCATTCTAAGCAATAGGTCCTATTTTTTATTTTTATCTTTGAATAGATTGCCAAAGAAAAATCATTTTCAAAAAACAACTATTTTGCTCACTTTCCTGCTTCAAGGATTTGAGCTTTTCTGGGAAAGACAGTCATATAAATTTACGTCATGATTCACACAGCTACTCGATGATTGGTCTGCTGTCATTTATAGGTATTTGGACTAACTCATGAAAAAATCTCCTCATGACTGCCAAAGGGCTCTTCGTGTTTGTATTTCAGATGGACTTAATCTAGGTTGTGTTTTTAGATGTTGAAGACCACTGAAGTGTTTTATCTTCCAGGCATTTGAATTATTCTTTTAATTCACAATTTTAATTCACAAATTCTTTGAGAAATAATTTTAGCAATTTATTTTCAAGAACAAAGCATAGGCTAGGCAGTCAACACGCACTGGAAATAAAACACAAAAATGTAATGAAATTTGCCAAAATAATTTATATTCTCTTGTTTTTATTAGAAATACTGAAGAAAGAGGAGTTGACAGACACATCGGAAATAAATTGCACTGTTGATTTCCACTTGAATAACCAGTACCCTTTGAACACACAAACTTAATTACAAATACACAAACTCACACTTGCAAAGGCTTCTACTACACGTAAAAGTGGTAGATTTGCTCATTATATTAAAGTACCAGTACAACGCCCTATGGTGATTTAGAACACACAGAGAGGTGAAATACTTGCTTTTTCTGCATTGGTTATTAATTTCAAACTTTTTATTTGAAATCATATTATGGCTTAAAACTTGCTTTTACATTGCATTGCTTTTTCTTTAGCAAACAGCAAAGGGCCATTTTTCAAGGGTTGTATCAGTTTTCTAGTGTAACTAAATAACTTCAGCTTTTGCTTTTGGCATGATTTATGTGTTATGTCATCCCATGTTTAGGGAAGAAAATGCCATTCCTAAAGATAACTGATTATATATTGTGCACCTGTCTACATAAGAAGACAAATAATTTAACACAGATACTTTTTTGATTTTTTTCCACTTTGTGCCAGTTGCTAAATAAGTTTTTTGGTGAATGTTATCCTATCAGAACCACAGGGTTGCACATTGATAAATACCAATAAGGGTGGCAGCAACTGTGACTTTTCAGAAGAATTTTTGTGGGGAGACAATGGGTCTTTTAAAAGCTAGAATAAAAAAATGATACTTTACAAATATACAGTGCTGAACTAAGAGGTGCCTGGCAGACACAGGCAGTGGGATGTCTTTAGGTCTACGAGCAGTTCTAACAGAACATGAGAGGGCTGAACCTCTCTGCTGGAGCACATACACTCTGACAGGTATCAGCTGTTCAAAAGAAAAGGATCTTTTGATTACCTTAATGAGAACTTGAATATGTCCTGTGGCTTTTGATGAAATGAAGTACCAGAAGCTCATCACACAAGTCTTGCTTGACTCCCTCCACCTGGAACTCTGCACATGGGCTTTTTCATTTTCTAGGCCTATTGGAGTAGCCTCAAGATACAGGAATTGTCCTGAAATTAAGTTATGTATTACTGAAAATTGTTTTGCACTTCCAAATCAGATTCCATAACCAAAACTCAGCAAAACAAATGCAAGAAGTTATAAAGTAAGCTTCCCATATGCCTTCTATACTAGCTGAACCTCTGCCTAGGCTAAAAGTCACCAGAGCACTTTCCTTGGATGTTTCTCACATCAGGAATAAGCTGAGAACAGCTTAAGAATTGGATGGGCCTATGCAAAAGAGAGGGTGAATGTCCACGTTTTCCAGATACTCTGATCATATCTCCTTGTCCAACAGCACTAGCTGTTTTGACAGTACAATATATAATGGCCACACCATGACAAATCTCAGGATGAAGTTTTCCGAAAGGTCGCCTTCAAAATGGCAAGTCACAGTTGTGACTTGTGAAAGCTTGTGATATAGGTATAAAAAATGGCATACACTTATAAATCATTAGGTATCCCTAATGATTCAAATTATTTTAGGCCATTTGTATTCTTTTGTGTATTAATACTAACTTTCATTCAAATTATTTAGTCAGAAAAAGTTGCAAAAATAGATAAAAATATTTAATATATGCTTTGAGAGTTTTGCATTTCTATTTCAATTAGAAAGTATAATAAATATAGCAAGTATTCAAATTCCACTTTTTATCCCTTGTACAAATAATGAATGTATAGTTCATGTAAGTATAACCACAGTATAAAATAGTATAATATCAGCTATAACTGCTCATCTTTTGAATTTTTGTGTATGAATTGGAGATAAAACCCCATTGGAGTAAAATGGGTTCATTCTAAATTTGACATATATGCGGCTCATTTACAACTACAGATGTTTGCCATAATACTATTGGATGGGAAAATTGCTTCCTCCCTGAGGTCAAGCATATATTTAACAAGTGTACTGACATCTTCATGATACATGTTTTATTTTTTAAATATGTTTAGATAATGCAAATGAAAACTTAATTTTCCCATATCTGCTATGTTCATGTACGTGGTATTTAAAAAATTTTAAAATGCCACGTATATGAACTCGTACGAGATGTCAAAAGTATGCCTTATCGTGGCACACTAGAAAGTAGGCTGGGGTAGGCAGGAATGAGCGCTGAACATGTTGATGTTTACATCAACTCATAGATAGCACTAGGCAAATGACTTCTTCCATTTGAAACAAAAACACTCCCACAGTTGTGTTTGGAAGGAAACCTGAGTGTGTTTGGGGGGGTGAAACAGGGGGGTGACACATGGGCACAGGATGTGGTACACTCCAAAAGGCCCCTTGATCTAGGCCCAGCATGCTGGGACACTTGCCCTGTGGACTGTCCACAGTCAGTCAAGCTTGGTTAGAAGATAATGAGGTCACTTAATTCTGGCCAGAGTGACATAATGCTGGTCATAAGCAGACTTTAGACATTTTATATTGCTAATAGGGGAGTCAAAAGTAAGCAATTGCTGGATTCAAGCTCAAGAGTTGTGAATTTAGAAGTAGTGCCTAAATTCCTCTTTGCTTCACTTTGTACAAGGATGGGAAGGTTATTGAATACTGCAGTCTCTACAACAGATGATAAAACTGTTAATTAAGCTACCAAGTGAGCTAAATTTCATTTTGATTCTCTCATGATGAACACAATTATTAAGTGTTATCAATATCAACAGTACAGCCAGATTCTACCTTCACCATTAAGCATTAGACCACATTAAAGTTGTGAAAAGTGAAAGTAATTCAGAATATATTTATCTGAGAACATGATTTCCAACTGCAGCACAGCTCCTGAATAATAAATAAAGAGAGTCTGACCTGTTTTATCTCTCATGACAACAAATGCACAAACTTTCAGATTATAGGGTAAATTTCCAGGCCTAGCAATTAAAATAACAATCATTTTATTCCTATGTGCAGCTGATTCAACTTTCATACCATGGAGATAAAATAAACTAAGAAAATATATGTTGTAACAGAACTGGATGTTTTAAAAGCCAAATGAAAGGCAGGGACATATCCTCCTGGGAGCGGGGGCGGGGGCAGTTAGAAGAGTTTTCCTTTTCTACTGCATCTTACTTTGAGAACAATAAAATGTAGCCAGTTTAGACTACCTCTAAATTTGAAAACGTGAACACATAATCTCTGATTATTTGTTCCTGTTTCACCCTCATTTATCTCTTGGTAAGCTTTCACTAGCCCCTAAGTTTCTATGTATAGCTATGCATCTTCAAGCAAACTTTGGTTTTATTGTGTTCTGTCCCTCCACGGCCCATGTAAGCATTTAATGATTACTAAAGAGAAGCCCCACACCTTTGTGCAACTCTGCTGCAGAGTATTTTAATTTAAAGTCAGTTCAGAGCTCAGCTTTGGTAACATCTTTGCCTAGGCTATGGGAGAGTCAAAGGCAGAGGATGTAGGCACGGGAGCCTGCAGGAAGGACAAGAACAGATAGCTGGGTGCTTTGGCCAAAACAAGCCAGAGGAGGAGCTGTACTATCACTAATGAGGGAAATTTATTTATTTAAAATTAGCTAACATTGAATGATGAACAGATATTATGGTTGCCTATAAAGTCCTAGATCGGTTTCTTAACTCCTAAATATATTTTTTTCCATCTTTCATTAGGACACACTTTAGGTGTGATTTAGCAGCTTAAGGAAGGATTTTTCTAGGGTAAAAAGTTGCTTATGCATCCTTTTTAACTGATCTTCAGGGAGAGATAAAAATATCTTATTGCTCTTTAGAAAAGAAAGCTTTTTGCTATGTTTTAGAGAATTTTGTTCCCACTCAAGACTAATACAAACCCAGGCACAAAATACTGTCTGCTAGTCTATACTTCTATTTTTTTTTTATGTTCAGAATGTTGCAGCATGTTCTGACATACACTGGGGCTTCCTGGAAGCGAGATCAGGCTCTGGTGGAGCAGAACCTAACGGATCTCAGAGCTTAGCTCTCTCATCCTTGCAGCCCGTTGCCAGATTAAATGCCTCTCTCCTGACAAGTAACAAATTATCTTGCTTGACACATACCATGCTACTTAAAGAAGAAACAACTGAGAATCAATTTTTCCTAACCTAAAGTCATTTTAGAACAGTAATTAATATTTTGGTACTGAGTTACACATTTAATTTATTAAAAATGACATCCTAATTAGATATGCAGAACCCTCCTGTTGCCTCTCAAGGGAAGTATGAGGAGCTCCATGAACATAATTACATCTCGCACGTAATTGACAACATACCAGTTCTATTTCCAAGCGTGTGATCCCTGGGGGGTCTAAGACTTTGAGGCGAGCCGACCCCTAGCACCCATTCGAAGTTGTCTGCCAGGGAATTTTGCCAGCCACATCTGCCTTTCTCAAAGGTGCAGGAAGTTCCGCATTCATTCTCATCCGTATTATCCCCACAGTCGTCTACAAAATCGCAGCTTTGTTCTGGTCTGTAACACTTGCCGTTCTGACATTCCCAATAGCCATGTGAGCAGGGGCCTGAAAAGAGAAGAAAAGGGGTATCCTGGTGAATCACACTGCCATGCATTCCAGCAGGGTTACTGGAAGGTTACATCTGAGACAGTTTGATATTTAGGAGGAGGAGGGTGGTCCAGAGCAGTTTTATTAAAAGCCTTTGGTCCTCCTGAAGTGCCAATCCATTATCAGTTTATTTCTTTTGTATTTTGTCAAGAGATTGCCTAAATAAAAGACTGTTTTCCTTGTAAAGCTTTTGAGGGCAAGTTCCAGCCAGGCATTCCTTCACTAACAAAGCTTTCCAGTCTGACTTAATTGCTGACATTTTCCTTTCATGTGGTGTAGGATTAAACCATTTCATTTCAGCTACAAAGTTGAGATTAGTTTAGCAGCCCCAATTTGGAAGAAAAAGCTTTTATTTTAACTACAGAGGTTTGCCTTTTAATGGATTTTTTGGGTGATGCTGTCCTTTTTGTGTAGTATTCCTGGCATTATTGAGAGATAATTCTACTATTGTGCAGCCTAAACATTGTAGGACTCATTTCACAGGATCCATTTCCAAGTTTCACGTTTTCATTTCAGATCACTTTCTGCAATGCTCTGGATATAAAGCAACCCCTTCAGTACATTCTCTAATCAGGAAGGGAGACAAACAAGAACTTCTGAAACAAACTGGCCCTCCCCATTTCCCCATTTTCCATTCTGCTCTGCCAGAAATAAATGCACATACATTAATTTTATCTAGAAATAGAACTATCACAATATTAGCTTATCAGACATAAAATTATCATATGCACGTGTATATACATTGTATAAGTACTTGCAGGATTTGAATAAATTAATAGTAAAAAGCACATGGGGCTAAAAAGGTTGGTTTTGCACTGGAGCTATCCTAATTAATAAGAAAACCTGACACAGATAAATGAGGCTAGTTTTCATTAAGGGCATAGAACAATAGGTTTATTAAAAAAAAAAAAAAAAGAGATGCTATACTCAGTTGGAGTGTTGGCAGTCTCCATCCCTGGAAATCTCTGTATGCTAGACTGTAAAATACAAACGGCCCAAACTAAGTGAAAGAGTATTGTCATGCTCCTTTGCTATAAGCTTTGGATGAAATAAAAGAAACCTTGAATCACTAGCTCTTAGGAAAAGAAAACAGGGATTTTTTTTTTTTTAAATCTTCCTAATACAGTCTTATTTTTCACAAAAACATGAAGTATTAGAAAGCCATAGAAATATCTAGCATCTTTTCCAGGAAATTCTTCATTTTTATTTCCTGTCCTCTTAGCAATACAAAAGCATGTATCACGTTCATTCTGGAAGACTGTATTTGATTTGGCTTTGAACAATTACTCATAGAGAAGGAGGAAAAATTCCTGAATAGAAAGCAGTCAGCCAGAATAAAACTCTGATAATGACTTAGAGGAGTCTAGAGCATCAGGCAACATAGCTGGCTACAAGGAAAATGTGTAGGCTCTGACTAGAAGAAGGGTAGCTGTATGAAGTTCACAGTTACCAGTGTATGAATATAGTGTGACTTTTTAGTAGAAAATCTGAAAATGGTCGAAATGGCCGAAAGAACGGATTAATCAGGGAGATATACCAGTCAGTGTCTAATTATTGCAACCTGAAAGACAATTGAGACCTGTCAGAAAATATCCCTCTCTATTAATCTTTGTAATAAATGCAAATTACATAGAAAAGCTATTGCCGGAGATATCTGACAAGCATCTACATTCAGCCGATATGCTACTGGCAAGCAGGGCCCATGTATATCACAAACATTTTGAGGGAAGCACTCTTCAGAATTTCGATCATCTATGCTGTTCCCCAGAGGAAGACAGATATTTGTTATAAAATCTCTGCCTAATATAGATGACACCTATTTTTAGGAGCTAGTTAATACAATCCTCACGTTTTTTTAATATGTGATTACCCTAAGAATTTAAACATGAATTTTATTTTCTTAGCAAACTAAAAAATTAAACTTTAGGATGCAGCCTATGTTTGGACATACATTTCATGCTGTTCATCATGATCAATAATTGCAATAATCTCTCTGGAGCATTTTAAAATCCTTCTGTAGCATTGCTTCCAATTTTGAGTGGAAAAACATGGAGTTAAAAAGTGGAACTCTTCCTTATCTAAGGAAAAAGAAAAACCCATCTTGAATACTGGCATGAATGAATCTTTTCAAGCATGCGTAATGAATGATATTACACTGTCTAACAGTTGGTTAACGTGACTTGTTTCTGGATGTACTTCCATACTATGCTTTCTGTTTAAATGCCATACTTCCAAGGCTTTATCACTCATCTGTAAAAAACTATAAGCCTTTTGAGCTCTCTTACTTCCTGCTTTTTTCTCAGTCCTAACAATGCAAACAGATGCTTTGTGATAGCACTGTATAACACAAACCAAGCCTTGTGGGCATTATAGGGATATTTAACTGAGAGGAATGTCTCCTCAGCAAGGTTGAGTAACTTCCCTCCAAGCTGTGTTTCTTAAATTATTAGCAGGTAAAAATTTTACCCTGTGTGGTAACTGCATCAACACCCTGGGCTATAAAGGACCCAAAGGAGCTATTAACGTCTTTCAGATCAATAATCTCTGAATTGAGGAGGACTTACACAATACGGAAAAAAAATTGCACCAGTAAATTATTTTAAATACCCTGAATAAAATCAACAGAGTGAACATTTATATTTTAGAATATGTAATTAGGACAAGGATTAATCACCTTTATTTTAAAGATGTTTCTCTTACATGTATCGCTTTGAAAAATTAGCACCCACAAACGTCAAGAGAGAGCACAATCTTACCAGGACAATTAGAGCATGGTTTGTCTTCTGCATCAAGGAGACTTAAAGAATTTTAAATAGTAATAAGGATAACGTGGAATACAGGTTGCAGCACTGAGGCAGAACAGTAATAAATTAGAGAAAAGAAAGATGTTCGCATTAAGAAACAGCATGTATGTGTGTTATTTATGTAAATGTCTAACTTTGGCAAGAATGGTTGTGTGTTCAAGTAAGTAAGTAATTCCGCAGGGAAATTTTCCAGAGACAATGATGATGAGAGAATACGATTCTTTAATCTTTGGAACTAGAGCCTATGTCTCAACAGGATTTTTTCTGTGAGTTGGCTAATTTTTATATCACTCTAACTTCATTGCTCATTTAGCTCCTTATCACTCTAACTTCATTGCTCATTTAGCTCCTTTCTGAACAGTATTCTGCATTGTCCTGTGGACACAAGGAACCCTTTTTGAGCTAGTGCATAAAAAGCATTTCACTGCGTACAAGTCCTTCCTCAAGATACATAATTGCTAAAGGAACTAGTTGGAAAATTCATATAGATCCTTGGAAATAATCTATTTTGTTCATTAAGATCATCTTTGCACTCCCCTTGTATTTTATTACTGCTGCCTCCTGCCAATGCAATGTTGGCAGGATGCCCTTGCCAAATAAGAACAGTTCAAAGGCCAAAATGCAGCCAATAGATTAGCTGTATCTTTCCTCTCTGTAAACCAGCAGCAAGAAGAAGCAGCAAAATAAATTCTCCATTGGAGTGCTTGCCTTCCAGGCAAAGTAAATTATCACTAGAACTATGTTTCATTGGCAGCAGAGTTCAAAGTACTTGCAGAATACTAGAAAATCTAGTCCAATTCTATGTCTTCATAGAGTATGGTATGGCACATTCACATTGTGACCTATCTTCACTTTAAGTTTTGACTTTTCACTTATAATCTCAAGCCCATGCTAAGAGACCACCAAAGCCAGAGATTAAAAACCTTCTGGACTGAGCAGTCCAAGAACATCACATATGTATACAGCCAGCCAACAAATTCCCAGAGCTCAGGTTTTCCTAAGTGCAGTACCCATACTTGGGACGTGGGGTACAGTCAGCAGTGTGAAAGTTATTCATCTCACGTTACAGAGGTATCACAGATAGCCATGAGCAATACCAAGGACCACTGCATTTTTACTTCATTTCTGCAATTTTCTTCCCATTTGTCTTTTACTTTGTGAGTTTCTTAAACTTCTTATATGTCTAGAAACATCTTATATATAATACAGATTAGTTATTAGTATGTCAGTAGTTTCCCTTCACGGTGTATTTCCAAAGGTAAGTTGGGCAGGGAGAGTTGAGCAAAAAAAGCCATTGATAGCCAAGCTGTCCCAGTTATTCAACTATAGATTTATTGGCTAGAAACTCTTCTCAGAATCTACTTGTCATCTCTGTTCACTCTCAGTGGGTCAAAATGGAAGATGATGACTGATGAGAGTTCACACCATTTAGCCTGATAGAGGAAAGTTATTAAAAAAACTGTTTTTGTTAGTCAGATATTTCATCCTTTGTAACAAATCAACTGGAAAAATCATGGAAACCTCAAAAAATTATTTTAATGTGTTTCAAAGATAAAGTATCACTTTTAAATGTTTATTTGGGGAAGAACTCATTGCATGACAACTGTGCAACCAGCTGCACAAAGATAACATGGAAATACAAACATTAGATGATTTAAAGAAATCATATAATGAACTTATAAAAATCCACAGTGGTGAGAGTGATGATGCTTAGAAATTTGCTGAATAGAATCCAAAATAAATCAACTTCATTAATGAATTGTAAGCTGATGTATAAGCATCCTTTTATTTATTCTTCTCCTCCCCATTAGAATACTGGCATATTTGTGAAGGCCTTGATTTTTTCCACTTTTATTTACAAGATCATAAGGTCTTTAGATGTCCTTCTTACCTCCCTGTTCAGAAAACTTTATATGCAAGCTACTATTTTTCTATCAGTCAAATTCTTTGCAAGTTATTTGTTTCCTCCGCAACATTTAGTTTGCCTTTTATTTCCCTCATCCTTTCCTTTAAATAGGTGATAGCTATTCTTATTTTCATTGAAAATATCATTCATTTCTTTATAATCAAAACCTATTACAAATTCTCACAAAGACGCATGATCATGCATCTAATTACTCATTTAAAAAAAAAGAGAAATCTGAGTATGCCACA